TCTCCTCTTCTTATTTTCTCTTGTTCCTTATCCTTCAAATTTTCATGGTTTCCACCGTTTTGTAAATCTTAGTAAGTTTTGTCTTTTTGCTCTCTCTAATTCTACCAATATTTATATAAGGTTCATCTTTATGTGTTCTTTAATATATTCTCTTTGTAGGGCATAGTAAGTCAAGCTCCTCCCTTTTCCCGGATTTTGTTTCTCTTAGTTTTTTTTTTTTGTGCTGTGTCTCTTCAGGGCATTGAATGCTTACCGTCAAAACTGTACAAGTTTTGTCCTTCAACTACATTCACAGGCTTTTCTTCTTCTATGTGCTGTGTCTCTTCAGGGCATTGGTATAAGTTTGAATCCAGTGTTTTTCTTTCTTTTTGCTCTTTGCTGAGACTGACTTTTGGCTTGGTGATCGTTCTAGTTTTTGATCCATAGACAAAGAAAGATTTATCTCATGCTTGTTCTTTCTTCTTCTATGTGCATTAGTCCAAATTGAGATCAACACAGAGTCAGTCAGAATTTTGACCTTTCTGATTCACAGGATTCCATGGCTTTTTTTTTCTTTGTAGCTCTAAGTTTTGTCTTTTTTGCCATTCCTGACAGTTATCTGGAATTAAACACCGTTTCCTTTTCTTTGTAGCTGAAGAATCATTCCATTTCTTCAAATGTGCTGTGTCTCTTCAGGGCATTGGTGATCATGGCTCTCCACCGTTTCCTTTTTTTGTAGCTCTTAGTAAGCTCCTCTCTCTCCCAATTTCTGTTCTACCAACCATTCACACAGGCTTGTTTTTCAGCAAAAAGTTGGAAAAGAAAGTTTGTAAATGTTTTGTCTTTTGCAAAAAAAGAAAACATCTTTTTAGGCATTTCTATGTGCTGTGTTTCAGGGCTTTCTTCTTTTCTTTGTGCTGGGTTCTCTTCTCCTAATTTCTGAAATTTGTCTTCTTCTATGTGTTCTGTCTCTTCATGGCTCACCGTTTCCTTTTCTTTGTAGCTCTTAGTAAGTTTTTGTCTTTTGCTCTCTCTCCTAATTCCTGTTCTACCAACCATTTACACAGGCTTGTTCTTTTCTTCTTCTATGTGCTGTGTCTGTCTTCAGGGCATTGGTGATCATGAAGTTTTTGTCTTTTTGCTCTCCTAAAAACCAGGCTTTGTTCACTTCTCTAAAATTTTTATAGTATATAATTTCTGTTCTACCAAAACACAGGCTTGTTCTTTCTTCTTCTATGTGCTGTGTCTCTTCAGGGCATTTATTTACTTTGTAGCTAATTTTCCTTTTTCTCTCCTAATAGCTCTTACACAAGGCTTTTGTTCTTTTGCTCTCTTCAGGGCATAATGTACCGTTTCATCATGCTTTATATAATTTTGTTCTACAACCTTTCACACAGGCTTGTTCTTTCTTCTTCTATGTGCTGTGTCTCTTCAGGGCATTGGTGATCATGGCTTCCTATCCCTTTTTTTTGTAAGTAAGTTTTTCTTCTTCTATGTGCTCTTAGTAAATTTTGTCTTTTTTTCTTGTTATCTTCTTCTATGTGCTGTGTCTCTTCAGGGCATTGGTGATCATGGCTTCTAATTTTTGTCTGTTCTCTCTCCTAATTCCATCCATTTCACACAATTCCTGTTCTACCAACCATTCACAGGCTTGTTCTTTCTTCTTCTATGTGTATGTGTCTGTCTCTCAGGTTTTTTTTTGTAGCTCTTAGTAAGTTTTGCATTGGTGATCATGACTCTCCACACCGTTTCCTTTTTTTGTAGCTCTAAGTAAGTTTTGTCTTTGCTCTCTCTCCTGTTCTACCAACCATTCCTTGTTCTGCCAATTGGTGATCATTCCACCGTTTCCTTTTTTTTGTAGCTCTTAGTAAGTTTTGTTTTGCTTTCTCTTCTTCTATGTCACACAGGCTTGTTCTTTTCTTCTTCTATGTGTTCTTCAGGGCATTGGTGATCATGGCTCTCCACCGTTTCCTTTTCTTTGTAGCTCTTAGTAAGTTTTGTCTTTTTGCTCTCTCTCCTAATTCCTGTTCTACAGGCTTGTTCCATTTCTATGTGGTTGGGCATTCTTCTTCTTCTATGTGTTTTGTCTTTTGTCTCTCTTCAGGGCATTGGTGATCACCGTAGTAAGTTTTGTCTTTTTGCTCCAATTTCCGTTTCCTTTTCTTTGTAGCTCTTAGGCATAAGTTTGTCTTTTTGCTTTTTGCTCTCTCTCCTAATTCCTGTTCTACCAACCATTCACACAGGCTTGTTCTTTCTTCTTCTATGTGCTGTGTCTCTTCAGGGCATTGGTGATCATGGCTCTCCACCGTTTCCTTTTCTTTGTAGCTCTTAGTAAGTTTTGTCTTTTTGCTCTCTCTCCTAATTTCTGTTCTACCAACCATTCACACAGGCTTGTTCTTTCTTCTTCTATGTGCTGTGTCTCTTCAGGGCATTGGTGATCATGGCTCTCCACCGTTTCCTTTTCTTTGGCTACCGCTTTTCTTAGTAAGTTTTGTCTTTTTGCTCTCTCTCTCTAAACCATTCCACAGGGTTGTTCTACCAACCATTCACACAGGCTTGTTCTTTCTTCTTCTATGTGCCGTGTTGTTTCTTCAGGGCATTGGTGATCATGGCTCTCCACCGTATTTCCTCTTTCTTTGTAGCTCTATGTGTTCTGTCTCTTCAGTAAGTTTTGTCTTTTTGCTCTCTCTCCTAATTCCTGTTCTACCAACCATTCACACAGGCTTGTTCTTTCTTCTTCTATGTGCTGTGTCTCTTCAGGGCATTGGTGATCATGGCTCTCCAAAGTTTTGTCCCTGTTTTGGCTTGTTCCAACCATTTATATAAGGTTGATTCATCTTCTTCTATGTGTTGTGTCTCTTCAGGATATTGGCAATCATGACTCTCCACAATTTCCTCCCCTTTGTAGCTCTTAGTAAGTTTTGTCTTTTTGCTATCCCTTTTAATCCCTGTTCTACCAACCAGTTACATAAGCTCGTTAGGTAGATTATTTACAGCTTTCATCTGTCCCACTTACTTCAAAATTTCTTGTGTGTGTCAAGTTCTCCAAGTTCTCATACCTCATTATATGTCCTAGAAATTTAAATTGTCCCTTTCTGATTCTAAGTATAAGTGTCTTTTTGTTTCCATTTTCCTTAAAACTTTATCCCTACACACATTTTTAGTCCATGGTATTCTCAGTATCCTTCTGTAGAACCACATTTCTTTTGCTCAAGTCTATTCTTAATGTATGAGGAGATTGTCCAGCATTCACTGCCATATGGGAGAACTGATACTACATAACAGTTTAGCACTCTAATTTTTTCTTTCTAATGAAATTTTCCTGTTTCTTAATACTTTACTTAGCTTTTGGAAGGCCTCTTTTGCTATACCACCATATCTTCAGATTAAAGTGTCACATTTTCCATCATCTGTTAAAACATTACTTGGATATTTAAACTTTTGTACTTGCTTGATTCTGGTGTCTGCAACTGAGTACTGTTCAATTGCTACTAAATAAAAACAAAACAAGATGTCCATAAATTTAGGTAATTTTATGTATGTAAAAACTCAAAACAGTTGATTGTAGCCAGGGTTATTGAATTAAGGTACTCCTGCAACGTTCTAAATTAAAGAATGCAAAAAAAATAAATCTAGGTGATTAACAACTGATCGATAATATTTTAGGCTCTGTATTCTCATTATATTGTGGATGAAAAAGGGCACCTCGGTGTGGTGTAATGGTTAGCAAGCTTGTCTCACTAGATCAGTTACGACTGAAAAGTGAGTTCGATCCTCACTAGGTGTCCCATACTTTCGGCCTTGTGCCACATCTAAGCCACGCTTAGAAAATAATTATATTGTGGATTAAAAAAAAAAATAGGAAGATTTTTCAAGGGAGATAACTATTAGATGATAATGACAGAGTACTATCCCTTCATTCACATCATATGGTATGCTTCTATCAATCATGGAAGACTATGACGTCTACCTCTACTAGACTAACTAATCCTTGTGGCAGACGTCAGCTCAGGCTTATTTTTCTTTCTTCAGCACCCACACAGCCAACCCGTAGTTTATATTGCAATTATGCTAAGCAGACTGGAACAGTATGCATAATCTGTTGTGATCAGTCAGTTATGTGCCATGCGTTATACATACTTAAGCGATCATGTATCTTTCAATACATGACTGACGAGGCAGATTTTTTCCCACAGTAGGTTGCCATTTCTTTCTGTGGTAGACCAATTGCCATCCAAAGTCTGGAACCCAGTCTGTCCTGCTATTTACCCATAGCTGGTGGGAGAAGAGGAGGATTCATACCTTTCTCAAGGGTATTAGCATGTAAGTGAATGTAATGGCTTTGATTGGAATTCAAACTCGGCTTGCTGATTCCTCAATCTGAGCTGCTATCAATTACTCCACTGTGCCTCCTTCTATACTCCACCATGCCTCCTTCAGTAGTTGAAAAAGGCCAGTACACTCAAACTCTCGGTCATGATGACTTCTGACTTCATGCAAACACAACCATTGACAGATGTCAAATTGTTTTGGCTATGTCATAAAAGAAAACATGTACCAATATATAGATACTTGTCACTAATTTGTTCCACACAGAGAAACTGTAACATACTGTTAGTTTTAATCCAATAGTGGGAATGATTTCAAAACACTTTTTCCTCCCAAATTTATAAACAGAACCACACAAATGCATGCTGGGATTTCTTCCTGGTCTCATCTTAATCAGTCCCAGTCTGTCTTGTCTTGAAGTCAGAACACTACATTTGTTTATCTAAATTCACTCTTGCATGTCAGCACCAATTCTTAGTGTTGTAACCTAGAAAATGTTACTGAATGAGGAATAACCCAACAGAGGTTGGAAATGAAAATGGTAATCTTTATAACATCAACAAAATACAATACTCGCCAGCGGCGTGAAGTAGGTAAACCACTGCTAGTGGTGGACAACATAGACAGTATATTACCCCCACATACAACAGTGTCCAACGTATTTATGAGGATTGGGACAAACCCATTAGTGTTCATAAGTACGATAGATAGATAGATAGATAGATAGATAGATAGATAGAAATAATGAAAATGAAAAGAGAAATAAGATAGATAGAAATAATGGAAAGACTGAAATAGATAGATAATAGATAAAATAGATAATAGATAGATAGATAGATAGATAGACAGATAATGGAAAGAGGTTGGAAATGAAATGGTAGATAGATAGAATAAAATAGATAGATAGAAGTAGGTAAACCAGCTAGTGGTGGATAGACAGAAATAATGAAAAGTGTCCAACGTAAGAGAGGATTGGGAAAATCAAAAGGTTCAAGATAGATAGACAGATAATGGATGAATAGATAGATAGATAGATAGATAGAAAACAATGATAGATAGATAGAAAAATCAAAAGGAAGATAGATAGACAGATAATGGAAAGACTGTGAGAGATAGATAGATAGATAGATAGATAGATAGATAGATAGATAGATAGATAGATAGATAGTGTTATAACCTAGAAAGGGTTACTGAATGTGGAATAACCAAAAAGAGGTTGGAAATGAAATGGTAATCTTTATAACATCAACAAAATACAATACTCGCCAGCAGCGTGAAGTAGGTAAACCACTGCTAGTGGTGGACTACTTAGACAGCATATTACCCCCAACTTACAATAGCGTCCAATGTATTTATGAGGATTGGGACATACACATTAGTGTTCATAGGTACGGTATATAACACTTAGTTTCTGAACTTTTTGACATATTATTGTTGCTTTGATTTATTACTGTTGTTTTGCCTTATTACTGTTAATTTGCCTTGCATATATTGTTTGCTTGTTTTATATTCTTTCTTTTTTGCCCTGATCTTTCCTTTTTCTTGTTATTGTTTATTGCAAACTATATTAATTCTGTTGTTGTACAGTTCTGCTATTTACTTCTAAACATGACCAATTACTCTATACATATGAATAAAATAAGCAGAGTGTAAAGGGCAAAGAGTACTTGTAATATAACCCTGAAAGAAAAACGGCCAGGCTGGTAGTATGTTCTACAAACTTCAAGTTACCATGTGAACTTGAGATGACATCTAGCACTGTAGTGGTCTATCATCAGCAACTGGCATGAACAGACATGTCTTGTCTCTACATGAGCTAAATAGCAACTCCTGCTTTTGCCATCTAACAAACCCACATCCCTTACCAGCCATAAGTTAATCTCCCTCTTGCATCCCTACACTGGGTTCTTCATACATAATTATCACTAATTTCTCCTCCAGACATAATCTGCAAAACTTCAATCCTTTTCCATAATTCACTGTTTACTTGATTATTTCCCATTTGATTGCTATCACAACTTTTCTTTCAACTCCCAAATATACATCAACAGTGCTGTGATCATTTTGTACTGTCTCCATTGATATTATATGATTATAAAATCTATTTTTAGATGGTCCTTCTGTCAATTCAATATAAATTTTATTTAGACAGCCTTCACTCTCCACTTTTGCCTGATATACCACACTTCTTACCTGGCAATTTCCTTTAAGGGGACACTTGTTTAAATCTATGCAGTTACATCTGTGTTCATCAACTCCTTGTGGGTTATTTGAAGCTGAAACATATTTTGGATCCTTTTTTGCAAGTAAATATTGTGTTAACAATTTTTTGAGGATAACAATGATTTTTCCACGTACATGTCCTAATATTTAACCCATAGCTGGGGGGTGATGGATTCATATGTTTCCCAAGGCTATTTGTGTGTAAGTGAACGTAATGAGGCTGGCTGAAATTTGAACTTGGCTCTCCGATTTCTCATCCCACGATGCTATCCACCGCACATCCACATATCTCAAGAGAAAGAGCATTAATAATAAAAATAAAATTGTATACTCATTTTTGAGTGCCTCTACTGGTGGTGGTGGTGGTGGTGGTGGTGAAGAAGAAGAAGAAGAAGTTTTTATATTCTTTCTTTAATGTAAAGAAATGTAAAATATTGGTTCAGACAAGGCTATACAAATTCTCTTCAGCCTTCAAGGTTATCAAATCTGATTATCTTCAAAGAGTTGTAAGAGAGACATCAACAACAAGAAATTCTGACATCTTGCCAGTATTGTCCAATTCTTTCTTTATATTCCACTGCTGCTGACAGTGTGATTTAAACTTACACACCTAGTTTCTGTCTTCTCAATACTGAAGAATCACCTGTTCAAAGGGTACTAATACTGGGGCGCCTAAAAATAGTAAGGAACAGAAAATAACGCGCAAAAATATGTGGAACACTTCTTTTTTTTCTTTTTTGAACCAGGCGTCAGTTAAACTAATAAAGGGAGATAACTTAGGTGTCTATAGTTGAGAATGTGAATTTATCTAGTTACAATAAACTGAATACAGCTGATATTCTGTTTTGATTTTGTGTGGACTTTCTTATACTTGATGGTATTTTCAAAAGAGAAGAGGAGGAGAGGGAGGAGTTATTCTTACCCTCCTTTTCTTTCTATGGAATGTGGCCAGTTGTCAAATGACAGTAAAATTCTCTTTGTAAGCTACAATGTATTTTTGTATGGAGAAAAATAAATAAATGAAAATAGTGTTTCATAATTTGTGCAGAAGTTTTAATTTTTTCTTTCAGATTTGTGCAAATTTACATTTCCAAAAAACCACTGAAAAACATAAATTTCAAAAACAATGTTTTTAAAAAAATTACATATAAATATATATATATATAAAATTAATTTCAGTTCAGCTCTCTGGGGAGGAGGTGGGTTTGTAAACAGTGACTATTATAGCTATATAGCGAGACTCTTCGCAAAAGCGAATTGAGTCACTGTCGGTCACTGGGCGTGTTTCTAAAAATAAATACGCTAAAAATCCACCTTCATCCCTACCGTGCACCGACGGCTTAATGGTAGAATCTTCAACTGACACCAATTCAGTCGGGTTTCGATCCTAGCTAGAGGCAACCGGATGTCTAGCCACACTGATGAGCTATGAAACAGCGAAACAGTCTGTCTGTGGATGACGTTATATAAATATATATATATATATATATATATATATATATATATTAAAGTTATGAAGAACTTGGTAATCCGTATGGGTAATCCCAAGGAGGATGAAATCCTGAGAGCTCAATGTAAATCCAGAGTTAATATTTAAAAAAAAACAGACCACTTTAATTTCATTATAATAATTTATTTCACGTTGATCATCAGATCCTTTAAACGAAAAATCTTTTCGTTTTTCGCTTCATTTCATTTTGGAAGTGCTATCTGATGATCCGCGTCCTTTAAAAGGACTTGGTGAAATAAATTATTATAATGCTACCTTAAAGTGGTCTGTTTTTTTTTTTATTTATTTATATATATATATATATATATATATATATATATATATATATATATATATATATATACCGGGTGTAACAGCAAAATTGTCCAAATCATGTAACAGCATGGGTTAATTGTCCATCCCACAAAATGTTTAATATCTAAAAAACCACTAAACTAACTGACTTTCTTTTTCACAGGTTTTCAGATAAGACATTTATCTTGACACCATTTGTCATAGGAATCACTAAAAAATCCTTTGAGTTATTCAGCTAGAAAGAAAACTGGTTAAAATCGCTTTGTGTCCACCTACTATGTCTTCCCAAGTGAGAAAGTTTTGATTTTCTCTTTCAGATTTGTACAAATTTACATTTCCAAGAAACCATTGAAAAACATAAACTCCAAAAGCATTACTAAATTTTAAAACTTCCTTTCTACATGGTATAGAAACTGTCTCACTTGTTAGTTATTGTGGGATGTGTGGGCTTCCTTACTTGGCTCAATTCAGCAGTAACTGCAACAGAAGTAATCAGCAGAGTACAATCAGAAGTCCTAGAAATCATAAAAACACTACCCAAGCTTTATTCAGCCTCTTTTCCACCTTTCCTTTTCAGCAACTGCTACCTTGAAGGCTTAACTTGAAAGACTACACACCATCCTTGCTGTAGAAAACATGTGGTCTGTCCTGGTAGCTTGATTCATGGGAACAAGTGGAGAAAACTCCCTTTTAGACACCTACCCAAAAAAGGACTACTCGCAACCCTTGCTGCAGAAGACTCATATCAGTCCTAGCAGTTTGACACTCAGATTTCTTGTTCCTTATGAGAACAAGCAGAGAAATCTCTCTCTACAAAACATCTACTCAGGGGGAGAACTTTGTTAACTGGGAAACCCAACTCTTTTCCCTGCAAAGTAACACTATTTTGGACTGTCTCTCTTTCAACCACAAATAAAAGCTGTTAATTATTTCAAGCCTTGGGTTTTGTTCATTCCATTCTCATTGCTGAGCGTACACATGCAACTGGAGAAAAATTCCTATAATAGATAGAAATTTGCATAAGATGTGTGAGGTACCAATGGGTAAAATTTTTTGTAATTCACTTCTAATGAGATTGCTAGGAATTTAAGCTTCATATTTGTTTGCATCTTTCAACATCATTCCCAGGGTTCCAGTGACTACAGGTTCTATGATTGCTTTGAGGTTCCACATTCTGACAATTTCTATCTCATGATTACACACACACACATATATATTAATAAATATACATATACCTACGTTTGAAATGCAACTTAAAGTTTCGCTTATCAGGTACGAATTATTACTTTTGATATTTTTAAAACAAATATACTATGTGTCATGAAAGGAACGCTAAATTAAATGCAGATTCAAAGCTCAAATTTAATATAAACTAAATATAATATTGGGGTGTAAATACAGAATGGAGAGTGTAGGTAGAAATTAAAATTTAAGCTTGCCTTTTTTTATCCACATTAATATCATATATATATATATGTGTAACAAGGTTTATTGAATAACACCAGCAAGGTCTGTCTATTTAACAATTTATATAGTTTTTCTAACTTCAGATTATCAAAAGGAAAATCTATATAAAATGTCAAATAGACAGACCTTATCAATGTTATTCAGTAAAACTTATATATATGATGTAATGAATATGCATACACCTGGGTTCCCCCTCACAGTAATATGATTGGCTGGTGTCAGCCATAAATACAGACTGATGTGGAGGTACAGAGTCGATGCTTATTCAGGACGCCCATTGTCTTCGCCTATTGCCTACATCTACAATGAGGACCAGTCCATTACGGTTACCTGCTAGATTGTTCTACTCGGTTACAGTAGTCCAAAACCACTTTGCTACTTCGAACAAACATATTCCTTTCCAGGACATATCAATATATATGTATATAAGTTAGCAACACTATAAAATAGCTACAAATAACCAAATCCACAATTATTCCTACTCAATAACCAATAGAATAATTTGAAACACAACTGTTACAGCCTACCCAATAACCATTAGGATAATACCATACTATCATAATGCACCATTGGCCAGCATGTATAAATATTGAGCCAAACACAATGCATGGTTTGAAGATTGTGTTCAAGCATGAGACATATTTATATGTACATATGCAAATATATGTGGACACTGAGGTCAACACCAAATGGTGACACTCTGTTTCATGCTTGAACGCAATCTTCAAACCATGTGCGTTGTGTTTTGGCTCAATTATTTATACATACTGGTCAATGGTGCATTATGGTAGGCAATAGGCGTAGACAATAGGTGAAAACAATAGGCATCCTGAATAAGCATTCACTCTGTACCTCCACATCAATCTGTATTTATGGCTGACACCAGCCAATCATATTACTGTGAGGGGGAACCCAGGTGTATGCATATTCATTACATCATATATATATATATAAGTTTTACTGAATAACACCGATAAGGTCTGTCTATTTGACGTTTTATATAGATTTTCCTTTTGATAATCCAAAGTTAGAAAAACTATATAAGTTGTTAAATAGACAGCGAATTTTGGAATAAGTTATTCCAACATTCATTTGAAGATGAAACAGAAGTAATGCTTTTAATTTAATTATATAATTAAATTTGAAGCTTTTAGCTTCAGTTTTTGAAACATGGTAATTCCTGTGTAGCGAAGAAACCATATTTTAAATAAGTTAATTTCTAATATATATATATGAGTAAAGCTAGTAATAAAATAAGAGTAACAATGAAGAGTGTATCAATTCAGTGTGGTGAAAAAAATAATAAGACAAAGTAAAATTGAAATAAACATCACAATCATCTTAATTTTAATTATCTGAGAGAACCCTTTTTAACTTC